TGCTTCTATCTCCTGTCCTGGCTTCTTTCTCCAATCCATTCTTCACACAGCAGCCTGAGATGCACCTGTGTCCAGAAAGACTTCTGGCACATGGAAGATCCTCATAAAACTCTGTGGGGGGAATGAATGAGGTCCAAGAGGTTGGAAGAGCCAAATGAATTAGGTATTGGAAAGGAGTTTGCTTTTTACTCTGAGAGCCATGGGAAGCCACTGAAGGGTTTGGGGTTGAAGAGTGTCTTACCCTGGTTTATCATTGTCAGTATCCTCCAGCCCAAGACCACCATGAGTACACCTGTGGTTAAATGAGTTGGGTTTATCGATTTACTGCAGTTGTGGGGAACTGCAGGGTATCCCAGTAAGAGGTATTCAAAATTACAGGAGTTGGGCTTATGTTAAATGATTGTGCTTAGAATATTCAAGGAAGTGGGGTTTGCTCTGGATTAGATGCTGTCAGAAAACAGGGTAATTCTGTGATTCCGTTTCTTACTAAATCTTATCCTAAGGTGAGAGGGAGGCTAAAACCATGATTGATCGAGCAGTAACTCATGATAGGATGGAAGGCTGTTGGGTCATCTCGTGGTTTGCACAATGGTTAGTTTTGTCTCTGTCCAGACATGATTACACAGTGGGCCCTTTTTTGTCTTGATCCATCAGGGTCACAGAGAGGCCTTGCTTGATGTTGGAGTTGTATGACATTTTCTGTTGGATCAAAGAATGTGAAAGGCCCAGCTGTGAACATCCGGCCATATCATAAAGACACCACGGCCCGCTGGCAGCGCCAGACCAGCTCCCAGCTGTCAGGGGCTGTGCTTGCCTTTCTCAGTGCTAATAAGATAAAGCCTAGACACTTTCAGGAGGATGCTGCAGTAGTCTTGTTAGAGATGATGATGGCCCTGCATTAGGGTGACCGGAGGATTCAGGACCATGGATGGTTACAGTTCTCACTCAAACAATACTGGCTTTTCAGCTTCTCAGAAGGACCTTGGTCCCTCCAGGCCCCTCCTGGAACAGTCTTGTTCAGCCCTTTCTTTACCCACACCACCACCCAACCCGACATATTCATTTTCCTCCTTCTCAAATGTTACCTCCACCAGGAAACACTGTTGGCCCTCCTGTCCCAAGTGTGGGGTAGCTGTCCCTCCTCTGCTTCCATAATCCCTTCTCCTTATTTTGGTTTACTTGCCTGGATCCCCTGCTAGACTGACAACTGCAGCAGGGAAGAAGCGATGTCATGATCACCAGGTGTACCCAGGTTCCATCACATAATAGATGCTCAATGAATACGTGTTAAACCAGTCAATGCTTCACTGATATTTATAGCTTTCTCTAGACTGGTTTCCAGGAAGTCATTATCTACTCCCAACTATCACACCATAATGTCATTCCAAAACGAAGCTGCCTTTTATTTTGTGCACACCCGCCAAGTAATGTGATATTCCTGGCACTGCTGTGTATATTCAGCTTTCCTGAAAATTAAATCTATAAACCACTGAAATAGCAGAAGCAACTATGGGATACTACCCTTAAGTGGCAGTAAGTGCCTTGGCTGTGAATGGTTTCAATTTGATTTGTTAGTAGAGTTGGGAGATATTATCCCTTAGGATGTTCTAAGCCAAAAATAGCATCCTCTGTTTTGTCATTCATTCATTCAGCAACTCATTTTCAAGAGTCAGTGCCAGGCAGGCATTGCTGTAGAATGTTCTGGAGCATTAGGGATGAAAGCAGAAATGAAAAAATCTGATCCGGTGGGGTTCACATGACAATGCACAGGAGAGGCAATAAGGAAAGAGAGAAATAAAATGCACCGAATATTAAATAGTGACACATGCTAAGGAGAAAAACAAAAGCAGAAGGAAAATATAAAATGCTATAGGGGGCCAGGCACGGTGGCTCACACCTATAACCCCAACACTTTGGGAGACCAAGAGGGGCGGAGTTCGATCACCTGAGGTCAGGAGTTTGAGACTAGCCTGACCAACATGGTGAGACCTCATCTCTACTAAAAATACAAAAATAAGCTGGGCATGGTGACACACACCTGTAATTCCAGCTACTTGGGAGGCTGAGGCAGGAGAATGGCTTGAACCCAGAAGGCGGACGTGGCAGTGAGCTGAGAACGCACCACTGCACTCCAGCTTGGGTGATGGAGCAAGACTATCAAAAAAAAAAAAAAAAAAAAGTTATAGGGGTTGGGGGATTTCAAGTAGCATCTCCAGAAAAGGCTACACTGAGAGGCTGGTCAGAGGAAAGGCCTGAGGAAGTGAAGGTTTCCAGCCCAGCCTACGTCTTGGGGTGGAGCTGCTGGCCGAGGGCACAGCCAGTGCCAAAGCCCTGAGGCAGGCTAGTGCCCAGTGTGCCTTATGCAGATCAAGATCTGGCTAGGACAAGGGAAAGGGGAGGCATGCAGAAGTCAGAAGGACCTTCAAGGCTCTGTCCATGACTCTGGCTTTCTGTCTGTAACAGAGAGCCTTCTGAGAGTTTGGGTGACAATGGGATATTGGAAATAATATCACACACTAAAACTAAGCACCAGGTCACATGCTTCTCTGATGTTTTCTAGGATTAAGAACAAGTAAACATGCGCATCTTTCTACTGTTGGTCATTCTCCTACAATAGAGTGGTTTTTTTTTTTACTTTTTTTGGATAGTAAATATAATAATATGATCATTATAAAAGATATAAAATACAAACACAATAAGTAGGAAAATAAAAACCAATTGCTCTCTTACCAGTCAATGATAGCCATTGTTATTTTTAGCATATTTTCTATCTTTACATATATGCGTGTTGTATTAGTTCGTTTTCATGCTGCTGATAAAGACACACCTGAAACTGGGAACAAACAAGGTTTCAACAGTTCCACATGGCTGGGGAGACCTCAGAATCATGGCAGGAGGCGAAAGGCATTTTACATGACAGCAGCAAGAGAAAAATGAGGAAGAAGCAAGATTGGAAACGCTTGATAAACCCATCAGATCTCTTGAGACTTATTCATTAGAATAAGAATAGCAGCGCGGAGGTGGGGGGGACGGGAACTGCCCCCATGATTCAATTACCTCCCACTGGGCCTTCCCACAACCCTTGGGACATCTGGGAGATACAATTCAAGTTGAGATTTGGTAGGGACACAGCCAGACCAAATCGTGTGTATTGCCTAAAACTTATCCAAAGAACATATATATGTACACATCCATACATGTATCTATACATATATGCATATACTGTCAGCCCTCCACATCCACTGGTTCCACTTCCATGGATTCAACCAACCGCAAATAGAAAATATTTGGGACAAACAATAAAAAATAACACAACAAAAATTTTAAAACAGTAGGGTTTAAAAACTATTTCCATCACATTTGCATTGTATTAGATATTACAAGTAATCTAAAGATGATTTAAGGCATACAGGAGGATTGCATAAATTATATGCAAATGCTACACCATTTTTTATCAGGGACTTGAGCACCTGTGGATTTTGTTATCTACAGGGGTCCTAGAACCACTTCCCTGAGGATACTGAAAGACATGTTATTTGAGACTTTTCCTTCATAATCATGAATGTATTTGCATTGTCATTAAAAATCCTTTTAAGGTCTCCAAAGGGTTTTGTCGCATGAATGAACCATAATTTCCATATTGTGCACCTCACTCCTTTGCTCTCCTATACAGCAGCAATTCTCCTTACAAAACTGATAAAATTCTAAGGGATTAAGCCCAATTGTTGTGTTTCTAACTCCAAGACCACACAAAAATGATGGCTTGCATCATTCAAGGTGGGCAAGTCTAACTGGAACAGCTGGTGGTGGTCGGCAGTGATTTCTTCTCTGGGACTATCTCTAAATTGAGGAGGCATGAGTAGAGGATATTCTGTGGTTGGATTCATGCAGAGGCAATTACTGTTGCTTTGAAAATACAAATCTGGCATTATTTCAATCCAGTGCTCCTGGAGCCCATCCTGCTTCCCTCACTGCTTTTTGTGCCACAGCAGATTCAGGCAATCAGGAAGGAAGCCAGACAGACTACTACTTCTGAGTAGTAAAGGAGTTTTTATACTAAAAAAACTACTTCTGAGTAGTAAAGGCGTTTTCATACTAAGAAAAAAAATACCACCACTCTCTTCTCCCAAATAATGTCTTCTAAGGTGGACTAGAGCATCAAGAGAGTTTGCATGTTAACATTTACCGCATGACCAGTGTTACTGGGCAGACTTGAGGTTTGTTACTTTCCTCATCTTAGTGAATATGAATTTATTAATTCATTTAATAGATCTCTGTTTTAACAAATTTTGAACCCCCATCTCACTTCTTTATTTCCTAACTTCTGGCAAATCTGTCACAGATAAACCTAATTGAAGAGAGCCGGTTGAGGCATCTGTCACAAATGAACCTAATTGAAGAGAACAGGTTGAGGCAGAGGGGAACCAATGGTGCTTTTCTGAGCTTTTGTCCTCAACACAAAGCAATCCCAAGAATACACAGTTCTTATTTGGTGGTTTTCCATAGAGTTCCATCAGATCATAGCAGTGACCACACACACACCTCCACAGATGTTAAAAAGACAGTGAAACGTAAGTCTTTCGCTACTGTTTCCTTAGCCTTTCGGTGCTTGACTCATCAAGCTGTTTTATTCATTCTTCTATTCGACCCACTAGTCCAGCATCTAGGTGAACACACTGTTCAGAGAAGCTGGAACTCTTTTCCTGCTATTTCCCTCCAAGTCCTCTAAACCCACCCATGCCCAGCTGAGATTCAGGCTCACTCCCCTTTTCCACCATCCAAACGAGCTTGAAAGGGGCAATGTCAAAACCACATGCCCCACCCAACTCAACTACAGGAATTTCTGACATGTTAAAAATAATACATTATCAAGACCGGTGTTTGCCAAGGATTGGGAGGAGGGACGGATGAATAGGTGTGAATTAATTCATTCTCATGCTGCTATAAGGACACAACCAAAACTGAGTAATTTATAAAGGAAAGAGGTTTAATTGACTCACAGTTCAGCTGGCTCAGGAGGCCTCAGGAAACTTACAGCGACGGCAGAAGGGGAAGCAAACACGTTCTTCACAAACTAGCAGGGAGAAGAATGAGAGCTGAGCAAAGGGGAAAACCTCTTATAAAACCATCAGTTCTCACGAGAACTCACTCACTATCACAAGAATAGTATGGGGGAAACCAACCCTATGTTTCAATTATCGCCACCTGGTCCGGCCCTTCACACCTGGGGATTATTACAATTCAAGGTGAGATTTGGGTGGAGACACAGCCAAACCACATCAAGATGGAACACAGAGAATTTTTAGGCAGTGAAACTACTTGTATATACTATAATGATGCATATACGTTATGATGCATTTTACAGAGCCATAGAATGTACAAGCTCAAGAGTGAATCCTAAACTAATCTTTGGGTGACAGTGATGTGTCCATGATGCTCATCAGCTGTAACAAACATACCACTCTGGTGATGGATATTGACAATGGAGTGGCCTATTCATTAGGGAGGGAAGGAGGCATACAGGAAATTTCTGTACCTTTCTCTGAGTTTTGCCATGAGCCTAAAACTGCTCTAAAAAAAATTAGGTCGGCCGGGTGCGGTGGCTCACGCCTGTAATCCCAGCACTTTGGGAGGCTGAGGCAGGCGGATCACGAGGTCAAGAGATCGAGACCATCCTGGTCAACATGGTGAAACCCCGTCTCTACTAAAAATACAATTAGCTGGGCATGGTGGCGCGTGCCTGTAATCCCAGCTACTCAGGAGGCTGAGACAGGAGAATTGCCTGAACCCAGGAGGTGGAGGTTGCGGTGAGCCGAGATCGTGCCATTGCACTCCAGCCTGGGTAACAAGAGCAAAACTCCGTCTTAAAAAATAAATAAATAATAAATTTTAAAAATTAAGTCTATAAAAATGTTAAAATAACAATACATTCAAGAAGATCTCTAGAAAAGACAGATATTCAATAGTTAGCTAAAGCCTCAAAATAAAACATTGACTTTCAGATCACCTTTCTAAAGGACTCTGGCAAAGCCAACAGAAAGAGGTTGCTTTCACTTCAACCTTCTGAAACCTACTCTCCTCACAGCTCTTTTTCTCTCTATCCCAAATTACCTGCACACAGGTACCCAATTACATATCTGCTATTCCTTTGGCTCCTTTTCCTGACCTCCTAAATGATCTATCCTTTCATGGGATTTTTCTGAGGAAAGTCACATTTCCCAATATAACCTCAAAATTACTAGCCTAAGAGGCTTATCTAAAAGTCAAATTTAAGTTGAGCCAAAGGCTATAGTTAAGAATTCCAAACCCTTGGGAAAACAGACAAAAAAGTTCTGTGAATTAAGTTTTTTATCAGCTACTTACTGTCCTAGATTACCAGCTCCTTACAAACTAGTTTCCTTCATTGTAATCCTCTCATACAGGGGAAATGGTTAAAAGTAACAGCATGAGAAAGACCAGGAGGAACTGAAATCATTAAACTGTGCGCCTTTCAGACATTGGCCTTAAGAGGACAAGAAAAATAAGAAATGAATTACCTATGGCCCATCCTTGACGTCTTTCCCTCAAAAGAAGATTAGACAGCAATTCAAAATTGCAAATAAAACGAAGATGATTCAATGGGAGACCTTAAAACCAGACTTCAGGAAACTTTCAAATAATGTTTTTGGTAGGCCTAGCAGCCGAAGTAAAAGGAGACTTGTCCTCTCTTTTTGTAAGTAGACTTACATCTGAAATATGAAACTTAGAAAAATAAACTGGAATGGGAAATTGCCAATTTAGAAGATCTCCAACATGTGGCTTAACATTTTCAAAGAGCCCTAGAAAGTAAACAAGCCAGAAACAGAAACAACTCCTGGCTATCCCAACTAAACTGGTCCCCAGAAGAAAAACAAAAACAGAAAGGTTTTCTTTTTTTTTCTCTGAGACTCAAGAGCCTATAAATAAGGACACCTGTAGATACTGTAGGCAGGAGGGTTATTGGGAAAACAAGTGTCTCACATCGGTTAAGAAACAAAACTACTGTTCAAAGTCTGTCCAGTGATGTTGAAGCTGAGAGAAATACTGGACCCCGATGATTCCCTCTCCTTCATCTAAACTGCCAAGGAAAATGGTATACGTACACCCACGTGCGTATGTGCGTGTATATGTACATAAAAAATTAGTTTTCTTGCTTATATGGTTGTCACTCTATCTCCAATTAATCCCACTACCATAGAACATCAGATTTCTTCCAAGTACCAAAGCTACTGAAATGGTGGGAATTTCTAACAACCCTAAGCTCCTTCTCATGCCTCAACCTATGATTGCTACTTTGGGACCCCTAGCAGAAGAACATTCCTTTCTTCTCTGTGACACAACTCCTGCACATTTAAAGGGAAAGGATCAAGTTTGAAACATTCAGCTAACTACACTGCAGGATTGTTTTTTGAAGTCCCGGAAGTTACAGCTGGTAAGCATATTAAAATACCTACACTAGGTATGATTCAAGAAACAAGTGAAGAATTAGCCTTGATCTCGGAATTCCTCAAGGCCAAAGACTCTATGAACATAAACAAACTAATTGGAGCACAGCCATGTGAGTTCAGATGGATTCTTCTAAACCTTTTCTTAAACTTCCTCAACACTCCCACTAAAATGGAAGCCAAGAAAGGTCTTAAGACAATTACAATAGGCTTAATTTAAAAAGGATTAATTCTCCTTTGTACTATTCCTGAAATGCCTGTTTAAAAGTCAAACAATTGGGCTGGACGCGGTGGCTCATGCCTGTAATCCCAGCACTTTGGGAGGCCGAGATGGGTGGATCACGAGGTCAAGAGATCGAGACCATCCTGGTCAACATGGTGAAAAACCCCGTCTCTACTAAAAATACAAAAAATTAGCTGGCCATGGTGGCACGTGCCTGTAGTCCCAGCTACTCAGGAGGCTGAGGCAGGAGAATTGCCTGAACCCAGGAGGCGGAGGTTGCGGTGAGCCAAGATCGTGCCATTGCACTCCAGCCTGGGTAAACAAGAGCGAAACTCCGTCTCAAAAAAAAAGTCAAACAATTGAGGACACAAATGTGTCTAAGATCTATAAGCAATTAAAATAGGCTTCCTTCCCAGCAGGGCCTAACCCAAATACCACACTGTCCTCATGCCTACCTGAAGCCAAATGCTTCACTGAAAGAGACTTATGCTAAGCTTTCTTTAGTATCTCAATTGATACTAAATATTTCTGATCATATTTATTTGCCTTCACCTTAGAACACCTGGAGAGCTTCCTCCATGAGAAAAACTGGACAGAGTATTAAGAAATATTTTTTTATCTTTTCTTTTCTTTTTTTTCTTTTTTTTAAGACGGGGTTTCACCATGTTGCTCAGGCTGGTCTTGAACTCTCGACCTCAGGTGATCCACTGGCCTTGGCCTCCAAAGTGCTTGGACTACAGGCATGAACCGCCACGCCCAGCCAAGAAACATTTTTAAAGAGCTGAATTAATGAAGAAATGTATTCTGTTCGTGAATCGTAAGACGATGTTATAAAGCTGTCAGTGCTCCCCATATTAATCATTTTAATTCCACTCAAAATTCCAACAGATTTTTATTCTCATGAAAACGTTTTTTACTGATCACAATCCTGACGAGCAAAAAGAAAAACATTGCCAAAGCATTTGTGAAGAAAAACAGAAAGGAAGGACTGATGAAAAATCACTATTTTATGGAACTCATTCATAGAGAGAGAAAATTGCCAGCGGAATAAATAGAGAGCCCAGAGTCCTGCCATTCTTATGGGTAACTTTGGTCCATGACAGAGGTGGCACAGCAGACCATTGATGACAGAGACCATTCAGGAAAAAGAATAGATTAAAAAACCGGACTTCCTCCAGCATAATATGGAATTGGAATTTACCTGACAACATGGATCAAGGATTTAAATATCAAAAAGTAAATATTAGGACTATTACAATTTAGGAGAATGTTGGTAGGTTGAGGGATTTACCAAATCATGATTTATTTTTCCTCTGCGAGACAGAAATCAAGTTCTTGTCTGGAGTGGGAGTAGGGATAAATGTGTTGTGGGTAAGGAGGAAGGGGAGTTGAGCCTGAAATGTGAGGGGTATAGCGATGGTGTGCCCCAGTCACTGAATAGAGCAGGAGGGAGGTGAGGCAGAGGAATATAACGGGAGGCCAGACGGATGATTTTCAATTAGTGGCTCCATCTGCCCAGTGGCGTGATGGAGACTCAGCTGCAGGAGGTTAGCGACTGGTTCTCCTGTCAGTTCTACCAGCCCTATTATTAGCAACAAGTTCTCCCCAACTCAATCATTGGGCTGATTGCCATCCCAGCCTCCTCTACTGCAATGTGTGTTCGTCTGTTTCCATAGCTTCTTGGTATTTTAGTAGGAAAGACTACTTTAGGGACAGTTACCTAGATATCACCTAAAACCTTCTTCTAATTCTTCACTGCTAATTGGTCATGGTTTAATTACAATACTTCATCTAAAATTCATTGGTAACCATTTCTTTTTCTTTTTTTTTTTTTGAAACGGAGTTTCGCTCTTGTTACCCAGGCTGGAGTGCAATGGCGCGATCTCGGCTCACCGCAACCTCCGCCTCCTGGGTTCAGGCAATTCTCCTGCCTCAGCCTCCTGAGTAGCTGGGATTACAGGCACGCGCCACCATGGTAACCATTTCTACAACAGTACATAGCTCTAGAATATCGGCTTTCAGTCTGCTTGTCAGACTGACACGTGGAGACCTCCTAGGCTGCCCAGCTCACTGGCCAGCTTCTCTCTGTGGTCTGAAAAGCAGGCATTGCCTGGCTTATGCTCTAAGTGAGAGACTCGAACTTCCCTTGTTAGCTGCCAATTACAACAACTCCGGTTTCTCTACTTCTGTTCTCCAAAGTTCCCAACTAGTGAAAAAACTGATTACAGCCACCTGGACATGTTTCTACCAAGCTTGACAGACTCTGAAGGTTTCTTCCTAATTGTTTTTGGACTTCACCCCTCATTTTCACATTCCCAAAAGTCCTCCAGCTGCCCTGACACTGATTCTGCAACAACAAGTTCCCTTGGTGAAAAATCGGCAAACCTGCCCCTTACATCATATCATCTGCTATCCGAGGCCTGAGTATTTTATCCCAGGACATATCTTGATAATTTAAGCAGAAAACATGAGATTTCCCAATAAGGATATGCAGTTGCCTCTATCTCTCTCCTCTGGAGGTGAAGCAACAAAATTCGAAGCCTGGTTGTGTTACTTATTAGTAACTAGTTAACTAGTTAGGTAAGTACCCTGCAAGTTATTTCTTTCTCTGTGGCTCTTCATTCTCCAGATAAATGACAACAATGAAGAGTAGTCATGCAGACCTTCCTTACAGAAGTGTTCCGTGGTTAAATATGATCATGAGCATCGAAGCTCTATGCAAACTGCAAATCTAAGGTGTTATGATTCCCCTGCTGAAGGTCAATATAGGCCGAACATCTTCTCCACGGGAGTATAAAGGTTTGGAGTTTTCATTAAAGGTAAATTCATGGATATTTACTGAGCTTCTTTTGTTTACATGCATTCGCTAAGCACTTGTTTATAAATTATCTCATTTTATCTTCAGAGTAAGCTCATACAGTCATGAATATTAAACCCGCTTCAAAGACAAGGAAACTGATAACGAATCCCAGGTAAAATCCAGAAAGATTAAGTAATTTGCCCAATATCACACAGGTAGTAAGTGTTGTCATCAGTTCTGGACTGATACAGCCACCTCTTTGCCACAAAATCCTCCAAGATGCAGGCTTTTTCCAGCTCGTGACATTGCCATCCTAAGAGGTGGCCCTTGTCCTCATTATTCAAGATGGAGGACAGCATCATGTTCCAGGCAGGAGGGAGGAATAAGTAACAAATATGAGAGACTAACACTTAAAGAAAGATCATGGAAGATGGTAAGTGACCCTTAGTCAACAGCTTTTTGGCCATAATGTGGTCACATGATGATTGGTCAGTTTGCCGGCAAGACACTGATGGAGCACTTCAACAAGATCATCTGGTAAAGAAACCATGTTCAAAGGAGCGGGTACATTTAAGGAAAAGAAACAAGGAACAGCCTGCATGCCAGGGCTAGCAATGGTAAGGAACCATTACCACTCCAGACCTTGAGGGGCTTGATAGGGATGATTACCAGAACGCAGAAAGAGTCAGAGGTGCAGCAAAAGGAGAAGGCTACCCCACCTAAGCTGTGGCATTTAGTAGAGGAAAGCTGTTTTGCAGCTGATCTGCCACTAGCATATATATATATATATATATATATACACATATACATATATATACATATACAGACGTGTATATGCACATACATACACATATATAAATACATATATATGTATTTGTTACATATATGCTAACAGGCACAGACAAAAAAAAAAATGCCCAAACAAAAGCCTGCTCTCTCGCCAAAAGACCAGGAAAGGGCAGGTCAGCAAGACAAAACACTTCTCCACAAGAACCTGTCCCTGCCAAGTAAAACAAAAAACTTAGTTCCACCCAACCCATGCCAGCAAAGGATATATGAGAAGCCTAAATATCCACCCTTGAAAGACTGTAATGAGGTCCCCAACCACTACCCCCCTCAATCAGGGTAGTGTCAGAGAAGACTGAATGGGAATCTAGGACTTTTAGTCCCTCCAGGAAAAGTTAAAAACAAAAAACCTAGTTTCCCTGCAGTGTCAGTGGAGATCCTAGACCTAAAATTCTAGATCCTAGACTGGAGGATCCTAGACTTCTTCCTCCTCACTAGGGTGCTTCTTGCTCCTTAACTGTGCCAGCCCCTGCCCAAAAAATTCCTATGTTGAATCCCTAACTCCCGGTATCTCAGAACATAATTGTATTTGGAGACAGGATCTCTAAAGAGGTAATTAAGGTAAAACGAGGCCATTAGGTTGGGCCCTAAGCCAAAATGACTGCTGTTCTCATAAGAAGAGGAGATGGGACACAGATACACACGGATACTTAAGTGATCACACACAACAAAGAATACTGTTTTTACAAAAACAATGTAGTCAGTAAACAAACAAGTATGCTGCATTCAGTAACAACAACCAGTCATGGAGATGGAGCAGAAGCTATTTCCAGACTTAGCACATTATAATACTAATAATGTCCAGTTTTCAGCCAAAAAAAAAAAGCGAAGTAACAAGAAAAGAGGACTCATTCACAACAAAAATAAATGCAGAGAAATCATCCTTGAGGAAGGCCAAATATTAGATTTACTAGACAGAGAATTTAAATAAAGTGTCTTAAATATGCTCAAAGAGTTAATGAAAATCATGCACAAGGAAATAAAGGAGGCCAGGAGTGGTGGCTCACACCTGTAATCCCAACGCTTTGAGAGGCCGAGGTGGGCAGATCACCCGAGGTCAGGTGACCCGGGGTCAGCCTGACCAACATGGAGAAACCTCGATTGTATATCTAGAAAAGTCATCCTTGATAATTAAGGATAAATTAAGTCATTCCCAGATAAACAAAATCTGAGAAAATGTATCACTAGTAGACCTATAAGAAACGCTAAAGGGCATTCTTCAGATCTAAATAAAAGGAAATGATACAGAAACTCAAAACCAAACCAAAGAATAAAGAACACCAGGAACGGTAATTATTTCGACACAAGCACATATGAAAGCCAATATTATTCCATTTTGAGATTATAACTCCTGTCTTTAAAACACTATTTCAAAGATACATTTTCAAAATAGTAATTACAGAGATATGTTAATGGGTACACAGTGTAAAAAGATGAAATTTGTGATAATAACAACTATACGGGAGGAGGAAGGAGCAATATCAGAGCAGCATTTTGTATGCGACAGAAGCTAAGCCGATATTAATTCCAACTAGAGAGTTATAAATGTGAGATGTTAATTGTCATCCCCATGGTTACCAATAAGAAAGTAACTAAAAAATATAAAGAGAAAATTAGAAGGGAATCAAAACAAGACATTAGAAAAAAAATCAATTAAACACAAAAGAAGGCAGTAATGGAGAAAATAAGGAAGAGAAAAAGACATAAGACCTATTGAAAAAAATATAGCAAAATGGCAAAAGTAACTATTTCTTATGAGTAGTTACTTTTAATGTAAATGAGTTATACTATCTGGACAGTTAATTTTAATGCATCCGCTTGGCAGAGTCAGGGTTCTCCAGGAGGCTGTGTATGTTCTGAATTCACATCTACTATATGCTGCTGTTTCTCCCACAGCCAGGATTCACAGGTCCAGGAATCAAGGGTTGGAAATAGAAGTGGCACCACTCACTATTACTTCTAGTGACCTACTAGCAAAATGTTTTCTTCCTCTTCCTATGACATTATGCTTTGCTGACCTAAAGGTCTTAGTTCCAAAGGGAGGAATACTTCTACCAGGACACACAATGATTTCATTAAACCAGAAGTTAAGAATGCTATCCAGCCACTCTGGGATCGTCTTCATGCCTTTAATCAACAGGCAAAGAAGAAATTACTACTCTGGCTGGGCTTATTAATCCATTTAAGTCAGAGACTCCTTTTTTTTTTTGAGACGGAGTTTTGCTCTTGTTACCCAAGCTGGAGTGCAATGGCGCAATCTCGGCTCACTGCAACCTCCGCCTCCTGGGTTCAGGCAATTCTCCTGCCTCAGCCTCCTGAGTAGCTGGGATTACAGGCACGTGCCACCATGCCCAGCTAATTTTTTGTATTTTTAGTAGAGACGGGGTTTCACCATTTTGACCAGGATGGTCTCGATATCTTGACCTCGTGATCAACCCACCTCGGCCTCCCAAAGTGCTGGGATTACAGGCTTGAGCCACTGCGCCCGGCCCAGAGACTCCAATTTTTAAAATTCCCGATGTGTGAAAAGTTAGACCTTGGCAATGACCTTGAGCAGTAAGAAATAAGTAATTCCCACATGCTTAGCGTTCCGATAAGGAATATTAGGCATAAATGGGCTTAATCCTGACTACTAAGAAATGTGACTGCTATTCCATAATGGAGGTAAGGAAGAATATATTAATAATACACAAGCCCCCTTAGAGTATCTCTTAGTATTACCATGCCCTGTGATTAAGGTCCACGGAAAACTACAACAGCCCAACCCAGGCATGACTACTACCATCTAAGATTATTCAGGAATAAAGGTTTGGCACCCACCAGATAAAGAACCACAGCAAAAGGTGCTTGCTGAGGGCAAGGAAGTATGGAATGGGTACAGCAAGAAGGTAGTTATAAATACCTGCAAAAATCGTGACAAATTACAGAAATGGAATTTCTTTTTTTGACAGAGTCTTGCTCTGTCACCTAGACTAGAGTATAGTGGCACGATCTCGGCTCACTGCAACCTCCACCTCCTGGATTCAAGCAATTTTTCTGCCTCAGCCTCCCAAGTAGCTGGGATTACAGGCACCTGCCACCATGCCCAGCTAATTTTTGTATTTTTAGTAGAGACACAGTTTCACCATCTTGGCCAAGCTGGTCTTGAACTCCTGACCTTGT